GGACTGGGAAGTACTTAGATCCAACCACAAAACATTGTGTGCCTTGCTCTCTTAATTGCGAACTTTGCACCAACAACACTAATTGTTTCTCGTGCACAAATCACACACTTCTTATCAAGTCTGACGACTCGAGTGTAAGCCCTGATCGCTGTGAAGTAATTGACAATTGTAAAGAAAGTGCATTGATGGAAGACAGATGTGAAGGCTGTAATAATGGTTTCAGACTTGAAAATGGAAAATGTGTCAATTGTGCTGATAATTGTAACATTTGTATTGAAAATGTTACTGCATCTGGTGACCCCAGTAAATCAATCTGTACTCAATGTGCAGAGGGTTATATTATGAAAAACGGAGCGTGTAAAAGTCTTGTTGAATTGAACTGTTTGGAAGGAGATGTATTTTATGGATGTTTTGAGTGCCTTTCTGGGTATTTCTTTAACTCCGACTTGGACTGTGAAAAATGCGAAGAGAAGTGTGGCGAGTGTGTTAACACAAAAGATACATGTCTGACGTGTGGAGAGAAATATTACTTTTCAAGAGAAACAAACGATTGTATACTCGTTGGTGATAATTGTGAAATATCCGACCAAAGTGGCTGCCTGAGTTGTGTAGATGGTACGACTGTTGGTACTGAATTGGATCCTGGATGGTACGTTCCCATTGGTTCTCAAGTATGTGTAAACTGTGATGAAGAGTGTAAGTTGTGTTCGAAAGAATCATATAGATGCACTGCTTGTATTAGTGGGTATACTTTGATTAAGAATGAAAGTGAAGATTTTTACAGGTGTAAAAAACAGAGTGAACATTGTATGAACTCTGAGTTGGGGTATTGCACACAATGCCAAGATGGGTACTTTGTGAAAGGTGATGATATAAAGGATTGTATTAAGTGCGATGAATCGTGTGCCACTTGTAAAGACATCACTAGTTGTAATACATGCAATGAAGACTACTTTATGCCAAAATACTTTCAAGACAATAACATTAAAATGTTGTGTTATCCGAAGGCTGAAATTAATGAGACGTGTGAAACAAATGCAAATGGGTGTGGAGAGTGTCATGACGGTTATTACATGAACAAAGAAGACTTGAAAGAATACAAATGCAGTGTATGTCCCAAAGAGTGTCTTACTTGCAAATTCAACAACACTGATTCCTCAAACTATTCTGTTGGAAACATTGTTTGCACGTTGTGTCCGACAGACAAGGAGTATGTCAATAACGGGAAATGCCATTTATGCTCTGAGATTGATAATTGCATTTCTTGTGCAGGAGAAAAGTGTACAAAGTGCAGTGAAGGGTTTTCACTCACAAGTGATGGACTTGAGTGCTATAGAACTCGGTGGGAATTGATCATCCCATTTGTGGTGATTGGTGTCTTGATCCTCATAGTTATTGTGATAACATTTGTTGTGGTAATACTAGTGAGGAAACGAAAGAGCGCGAAAACTGAAAACAAAGAGATTCGTCCTTTCAAAGTTGGAAATGAGCTGGAGATGCTCCTGATGCTTGCGGACAACGAGAAGTTCCCATTAAAGACAGACAAGTGGGTACTCAACTTTGGGTTAGTTAAAGAACATGCAAAAGTCGGTCAGGAATACAATGAAGTTGTCAATTTGGCGAATATGACTGATAAAACATACTACTTTGAATTTCACATGACCCCGAGTCATCGATATGAAATGGAAATCTACCCATTGAGTGGCACTCTTAAGCCCTCGACTGCAGTACAAATCACTTTCAGAATAACGATGTTGTGCACTGCTTCTGTGTATGACCACATTGGAATAACAGCAGTTGATGTAGAAGAAGACGTCAAAGAAACGGCCAAATTCACAATGGGGTTTGAGGCTGAAGTCTCGACTAAACTTGACCACACCGAACTGTTACCAATTATGCCGGCAATTGGCGAAGGAGCGTTTGGTATTGTGTTTAAGGGGAAGTACCGAGGACGGGATGTTGCGATAAAGAAGATGAAAGCAAGAAACTTGACCATTGACCAAGAGAAACAGTTTACACATGAAATTAATATGTTGACACAATTACGAAGCATGGTGGTCATCGAGTACGTTGGCGCTGTATTCACTGAAGGGGAGATATCGATTGTAACTGAATATGCAGAATATGGCAGTCTAAGTAAAGTGTGGGGAAAGTACCCAATCGACCATCAGATGAAAATGAAAATTCTGAACGATTTTGCTGTTGCATTGGCCTTTATACATGAGAACGAATTTATTCATAGAGATGTTAAAGGAGAGAATTTGCTCATATTCAGTATGAATCCGCATACCCCCATCTCGTCGAAATTGACAGACTTTGGGACGTGCAGAAGTATCTCTGAAAACGCCTTGAAAATCAGAGCACTGTCTCAATCAATTGGAACCCCAACATACATGCCACCAGAGTGTCTGGAGAACAACACGAACTATGGGTATCCAGTCGACGTCTATTCTTTTGGAATAGTGTTGTATGAAACGTTTATAGAAGGTAATGCCTACGAGAATGATGATCGGTTCACACAACCTTGGGTCATCCCACAGTTTGTGATTGAAGGAAATCGTCTTGAAAAGCCAAGAGAGATGGAAGACTACTATTGGGACCTCATTGAGAAATGTTGGAAGCAGAAGGCAGAGGAGAGACCAACGTTCTTGGATATTTTAGATATCATGAAGACGTGGGACGTCGACATCGAAAGGTCGTACAGTGTTGTCATGGAAATGAGAAAGAATCAAATGAAAAGAAATACAGGAGAACTGAATCAATTTGAGGAACAATCAGACATAGACAACATCAGTTTACCATCTACCACGTCATCAGACTATTTCTAATTGAATTTAATTACTATTTTAATTTCAATTTATTAGTATAGTAAAATATTATTATAAAATAATATTTATATTAATAAATTACTATTTATTTTTTAAACAAACTATAACTATAACTATTGAATAGTTATAGTTAATATATACTAAAATAGATAATTCATATGTCAAAACAATTACATACTAATAAATTACTAAAACTCATAGTTTTATACATTGTAATAGTTAATAGAACTAATAAAAAACCATTTATAATATCTGAATAGTTTAGAACATCTGGACAACTAGAACACGGGTGGCAAGATACAAAGGAGTAGTGTCGACACACCCGTAGTAATCGTCACAGTTTGTTGTGTACCACGGCAGGTCTTTTAAGTGATTTCCAATTGGGAACTCGAACAACTCTGAATAGATAGAGAGGAAACAAAGGCGAGCATGTTGAGTATTTGTGGAGGTGTCCAAAAGGAAGTTGTTTGGTGAAGGACCGAATGTGAACAGACGAGAAACGCGGAATGAAGGGGTTGAGGGAGAAGGAATATTCGAGAGGATTAAATGTCGATGTTTTGTCTGGAGAAAAAGGCCGAAGGAGACATTGGAGCACTCGATGATGAAGAGGATATTCCACCTGTTACATACGTCTTGTCTAATTCGTTTAGAAAGGCTGTAAGAATTGGACTGATACGTGTCGGTGTCTAATATCACTTCACCGAGTGTGCAGGAAGTGGAGTCTTCAATTAATTTTGACCAACTTGAATCCAAAGACGACCGCATCGAGTCGGAATGAAAAATTGAGAGAGAAGGACAGTTCCAATAATCCAGCGTTTGAGAAGTAGAGGGGAAATAGTGACTCCGTGAGATTTGAGAGTTCTCAGAAGTACAAATTGTGTTAGACCTTTTGACGGTGTAAAACCAAGTCACTTCATTCGACTCAATGTCTCTTGTTATTGTCCAATTGTTATTTTTCCATTGCATATGATGTTCTGTGTATATCAAAGAGTATGGCGTCTTGATATTAAGAAACACTTCTTCCCCAAATTGTGTATGGTAATTGACTTCGAATGTGACAACGACCATCTCTTGTCGATTTATTTGACTTTAACAATTGAATAAATAATAGTTATAATAATTATTATTAATTATAATTCGAGTGATGTTTCTAATCATTTTGTTTTTTTAAGTTATATGATATAATATTATAAGTTATACAATTATAGTATGATGTATTATATTATAAACTATTATAAACTATTATAAACTATTAAAAATTATATAATTATTATAATTATTATAATTATTATATAAAATTATTATATTAAATGTTATAATAAGATTATCTTATGATTAATTCTAATTAATGACATAAAAGTCATTTAAATTTTAAATAACTATAAATATTGTTATTGAATGAGTCGTTTGGAAAGAGTCTTCTTAATGAATGTGTCTCTTTTCATCGAGACCATTCAAGACTTAATTCAGTTTCAACTTGTTAATAAAAAGTGTTTAGAAGCCCTTAATGGCCTTCACATCAATCCATTCATTAAAGACTTTGACGTCCAACACCCAAATAAAAATGAGAAGGGTTTTGTTACTCAGTGTTTGAGAATCAGTTCGTTTCTAATGAAGTCGTTTCCTCGTTTAGAAACACTTGTTTGTACCTACGCATTTCTCCGCGAAAGTAAAGACGACAATTTGTTCAGTCGAGTTCAAATGATTTCCGTTCGAAGAGACAAGTCCTTTGCCATTTCCTTTCTTAGAAGAGTCAAATCCGAACGCCTTCAAAAAGTTATTCGAATCTGCTTTGATGCGACTTTCCAGTGTACTTTTGACTGGTTTGAGCAGATGAGTTCACTTCGAGTCATCTCACTTGATATGGACAGACTTGAAAAACTCAAAGACGGTATCCACGTCTTATTTTCTATTCAATCACTTCGAAAGGTGTACATCAAAAAAGCACTCAATCCACAACTTTCTGAAATTATTGAGATGATCGCGAACAACAAACTGTCATGGGAGAGTCACTGTAGAGTCTATTTCCTCTTAATCCCATCAAAGAAGTTTGAAGTTTCTCCAGAGAACTACACTAAGCTCAAAAGTCTTGAAACCATGAAGGAAAATCAGACTCACAAAATCACTGTTTTGGATCTTAGAAAGTACTCAAGTCGACTTGGAGACGATACTGATGAGAAAGTTCTTGTTAACAATGTGTTCATGTTCACAAGCATAACATTAATACCAGAGACTCTCAATGCCAATTTAAATGAACATGGCCTCACTGAAACGGAAACTTCGGTGCTACGCAATTGTAGATGCGAGAATACTTTTTCACTGTTTAGGACTTGGACATATTCAGACGACAATGAGACGGACTTGTCAAACATTCTTGACATCGAAAATCACTTTGTTGTGATGGGAAGGACAAAGTCTATCACATTCGACTCAGTGTTCTTGGGATTTGTCAATTTGTGTCAGATCTCGAACGTCTCTGTAGACCTTCCAAGGTCGTATCAAGTCACTTTGATCCACTGCAAAGACGTTAAACTGAGGAATTGTGGAGTGAACAGAATTGAGTGTTTTCTCTCGGAGAATATTGAAGTTGCAATTCCAAGTGAACACATCTATGACATCATTCTTCAACACAACAAAAATGTGAGGATAATAGGAAACAACGCGACTTATATTAAAGAACTGAGATTTTCTAATGAAACAAATAGTGTGGTGAGTCACACTAACATCTTTACTTTGGCTATTGACTCTTCCAGTGTTATTACTTTCAAGCAAAATCGCATTCAAAATTGCGCCCTCGAATCCGTCAAATACTTAAATATTGACAACACTAATATTTACTTAGAAAAAGATGTTAACGAGTATTTAAAATGCTGTTATTCATATCATAAAAAACATAAGGCACTTCCTGAATGCTTGAGAAGTCTGTGTTATGTTGAAGACTCGAATATTCACTTCGACAAAATTGGTGAAAAAATGACTCTCCAGAATTCCGACTTCAATCAAATTACTGGAGTCCTCACGAAAAAACTACTTGAAGAAGACAGAAAGTGTATTAATCATATTGCTAACTGCTTACTGAAAATCACAAATGAAAGGACTTTGTTGTATGTCGCAAATAAGTTTCAAAATGAGTATAAAGGGAATTATAGACTCGCACTCGAACTGATTATGGAGTTCTATTCTTGCAGTGACCCTCCACAATTCCCAATCACTATCAACACTTTCAATTATGTTCTTCTCTGTCGTTTAAATTGTCAAACCGTCAAAATACAAAACGTCAAAGTTGTTGAGTTGTACATGTGCAACATCGTCGAACTCGAATTACTTGATGTCCAAAAGGATATTATTAAAGACACCGTAATCAATAAGTTGATCACCAACAATACTATAACAAAGCCAAATATGGAACAAAAATTAACTCACAAACACAAAACTGTTGCAAAAAGGAATCGAAAGGTGTTCAAAGTCGCTCGAAGAAAAATCAGCCTATTTTCTTGTTTCGACTCTCTTGAAAGACTTATCATCAGAAATTGCAAACTACTCACAAAAATCATATTAGGTCCTAACATTAAAACTGTTCATTTACAGAACTTGCCATTCCTTTCTGTCATCGACAATTTGACAAACAAAGTCAAACTCACAATCATGAATTGTCCACAATACTCTTCAATTTGAATTGTGTCTGTTCGTCTGTTTGTCGGTCAATGTTCTAAACTATAAATATATTATAATTGTACTATAAAAATATATTATAATTGTACTATAAAAATATATTATTACTATACTATAAAAACACTATAAATATACTATAAAAACATTATAATTTTTTTATAGTACATATTATAAAGAAATTAATAATTAATATATTATAATTATATTATACACTAATAGTAAAATGAAAATTAAATTATTTCTTAGCAATACCACCTTTACTTGCAGGCATAAACTTCTTCTTCTCAGTGACTTCTCTTTGCATGAACCAGATTGTGCCTTGACCGGCACCTTCAGCCTTCTTCTTTTGCTCTTCCAAGTATGCTTCAGCCTCTGCGACTTTGTCGTTAGCTTCTTGGACTGCCTTTTCAGCCTCTTCTTGAGCCTCAACGGCTTGTTTCTCTGCTTCTTCTGCTTCTTGTTTTGCTTTTTCACTTTCTTCTTTTGCTTTGTTAGAGACTTCGAGAGCTTCGTCGGCTTGTACTTTAGCTTCTTCAGCAGCGGTTTTGGCTTCGTCGGCTTTCTTAGCAGTTTCGATAGCCTTTTCCTTTGTTTCTGTTGCGATTTTGACTAAGAGGTGAGACTTTTTCTCGACAATTAGAACACAAAATATTTTTATTATAAATATATAGTTTTTATAATAAGTTAATAATTCCAATTATACTAGTATAATTTATAGTATAATATATTATAATATATTAATATACACAAAGCACAACAAGAACAAACCGGCTTTGTCAGCTCTCTTCTGTGCGGCTTCTAAAGTGATTTTGGCTCTTCTTAATGGCAAGTCATCTTCATTATCTAATTTGGCAAGTTCTTGAATGGCCGCATTCTTTGCGACGAGTCCAGCAGTCTCGATCTTCTTCTTTAAATCAGCTCTTTTCTTCTCTTTGGCAGCTTCTTGTGCTTTCACATCATTCAGCGCTTTGGTCACCTCAGCTTTGGCAGCTTCAGCATCTTTCTCTTTGGCTATTGAAGTCTCCTCGTCCTTTTTGGCTTGCTCGGCAGCTTGTGCAGACGCTTTGGCACGACTGTCAGCAGCTTCTGCAGCTTTTTTACTCTCTTCTGCTTTCTGTGCGGCTTCATTGGCAGCTTTGGTGGCCTCAGAAGCTTTTTTCTTCGACTCTTCAGCAGCCGCTTTGGACTCCTCAGCCTTCTTTTGAGCACTCTCAAAAGCTACTGTGACTTCTTCTAACATTTTTTTGGCCTTCTCAATGCCTTCTAAATTGCCGCCTTGTGGGGCTTCGACGACTTCCTTCCAGTCATACCCAAAGTGGAAGATGAGGAAATTGATCATAGAAATCTTTTTAAAGGAAGTCACACCAACTTTTCTCATGTGATTTCTCATCTCTTGGAAGGTTTGTTGGGCATTCAATTTCTCAAAAACACGGTGCATGTTCATCTCATCTAAATCACAACCCTCTTTCCCATTCTCAAGCTCTAAACTCGAAAAGAGAACTACTAAATTCCAGAGCTCTTCGGCACGCTTGTCTTGCTCTTTCGGCCACATCGCATTTAACATCCAAACAGCTTGGTCCTGGAACTTCTTTTGTCCAATTTCTTTCAAATGTTCAAGCTCGGTCATTATTTTAATTTAAAATGAGTTCGTTTTTATGTGGTGGAGAGAGTGGATCTCTACTTAGTTTGACGGTTTATTTTTGAGTTCGTTTGGTGGTGTAAATAACTACATATCCACTACATCAGTTATATATAGTGGAAAAGACCGGGGTTTGTATCATTTTTTAATGCCATAAATTCAAAGATGGAAGTCATAGGAAGATATGTTTTGATAAGGAAATATCTAGAATCATTCGTACATTAATGTAAACACTTTTTGTGGTAATGTTTAACACTTATATAAAATACTCAATTTTTTATATTGATATGTTTTTACCGGGATATCTACACATTTTTTGATATTTTTCCTTTTTTAGTGACGTGTAAAATAATGTATAAAATAAATATCTAAAATGTTGGTAATTATCTTATAATTTACGTAATTTCCCGATTTTTAGACTACTTGATTTATGTTCAACTTGATTGATCGATTTAAAAAAAAGAAAAAAATAAAATAATAAAACATTTTCTATAACAAAATAATTGAAACGTTTTATTTAAAAAAATGAAAAACATTTTAAAATAACAAAAATTACCGTTAGTCTGTTTTTAGAACTAATGAAGAGTGTCAATTACTTGATTAGGCAAAGACGGGGACGAACATCTGTTTAGGGTCTGTAGGTGAGCAACGTTCGGCTTTAATTTGGTAGCTGGTTGTAGTAGTTTGAAGATTTCTATTTCCGTCCCAAGTCGATCTTGTTTCACCGCCAGTTTTCGTTTGATAACACAAGCTGTAAGCTGTCTGGAATGGGATGTAGAAGTGTTGCTTATAAATTGAGTACTTTTCATTTGAAGGATATCCATTGTATGGGTGGACATACACAAATCGTTGGTTCTTTGTTCCTTCAGCCAAAGGCGGCTTTTTGTTCCATATAATCAAAGTGTTTCCCGGGTCAGCAGTACCTCTGATATCGTGAACTCTTCGTGGGATGGGGAAGGAGATGTACATCTTGTAGGGCGCAAACTCCCAGAACTGAAGCTCATTTCCTGGTTTGAGTGGTCGTAACAAAATGTTTTGTTCCCAGCCTCCTTCATAGGCGCGCACAAGACTTCTATCATCAAATTCATTGTCCATGACAAATCGAGTGTAATCTTTTATGTCGTCTGCATCAGTAAATTTGGCATTTTTGGCGTAGTTGTACTCAGAGGCAAAAAGAACTCTGCAACACGTCGTGCACTTCAATCGATTGTAATTTTCATTGGAAGCAGTGTAAACATTACTCTCCGGGTAATATTTGACATTATAACTGCCAACAGCACTTGTAAAACTGTAAACGGCTCCAAAGAGGAGCATCAAAAGAATCATCGAACAATGTAATAAAGATTGTTCAACTTCTCTTATATATCTTTTTTTATTCTAAAATTCTTTTTACATCACTTATTCAAATAAAAGAGGCTTGTTTACACCTCACAAGGTTTACATATATTTAGAAGCAAATGGTTGTTAAATACTTGAAAAAAAATTTTTAAAAAGGTATGTTTTAAAATTAATTACATTTATCTTGTTATTGGTGTATCATCAGAAAGTCATACTGATTGAAAACGTTTTTCATTTGAAAAAGTTCAGTATAATCAATGCTATTTTTCTTAATTTGGTAATCCTTGCGATTTTCCATGTTGAAAAAACTAAAAAGTAAAAGATTCGAGTGTAAAACAAGAAAAAACTTTTGCTACACGAAATACATTGCTTAATTGTTACTCAAAGTAAATGAAAAATGCTTTGAATTATACTAGTCGATGATCTATATTTGAAAAAATTGTATCTACGTCATTACTTTAAAAGATATTATGCATAATTAAACCAAAAAAATTTCATCATAACACACTTTTGAAAATTCCAATAATTATCATTGCGATAAAAATGACAATTTGTTTATTTTCAACAGAACAAGTCATGAACTCAAATAATTGGTTTCAAAAACAAATTTCTAACCAATTGCTATAATATATAATTTGTTTTTCCATAATTATACTATATTAAGTGTTATGAATACTTTTTGTTTTTAAATCATATTTTGTGTAAAGAAAAACCTGTTGAGAGGAATTTCTATTATATTATTGCCTTCAGAAACATTTGTTTAGTCAAAGATACTTTTTTCTCGTTATGTCAAACTATAATTATATCTTGATAAAATGTTTAATATAAACGTTATATAATATAGTTTAATTAAATAATTGGTTATTAATAAGTTTATAATTGCATTCTTCATTTTTTTATTCAATGGTTGACATTTAGAATAACCGATTACATAATTATTTGCTTATTTATAACTTTAAAACATGTTTTATACAATTTTTTTGTTGACTATAACTTTTGCTGTTGTAAATATAATATAATAAACTATATTGACATAGTAAACAATTGAGAATAACTGACGAAACGCGATTCAATTAGTTCAACAGATTTTTAATATAGTAAATAATAATAACTAAAAATAATTGATTTATAGTATATCAATTATTATTATATTATAGTTATAATAGTTATTGATTATCAATCCATAATCAATAACTATTTTTATAGTTAATTTAATTAACTGTTCAATGGAAAAAGATTATTGTTGAAGTAACCATATATTCAGTCAGCTAACTAAACTTTAGTTGACTCACAAACATATTTTAGCTAACCAAATTATTATAAATGAATGGTTTTATTATAATTAAGAAATATTTATATATAGAACAAAAAATAGTTTATAATTTAAACAATAAATAGTTACCAACAATTCGTAATTTACTATTTAATATTATTAATTTTTAACTAATATAATAATTCTAATAATGTTATTTATTTAATAGTATTATTATTAGTATTAATTTAGATGTGAGTTCTTTCAATCATTTATAATTGGACTTTTTATAATAAAAAATAGTAAATAAATAGTACTACTACTATCAAAAATACTCAAACAATTACTTATTGAAGTGGTTCTGTTAACATTAAAAAAATAGTTGATTATACCCAAAAGACCCACCCCTCTTTACATTGACTTTTAAACTCACTCACTTTCTGGCTTTGGACACCGTGATAATAAGGATCATGTGCCCACACATAGTCTCCATCAAACGAATTGACTGAAATAAAGTGTCCATATTTAGTCCATACTGGTGGACCCATTGAAGTTACAGCCAACCCTCCTGCGTTCACAAGTGTTCTCATTCTGTCCATATTGCAGTGAACCGTTTCATAGTGTAGTCCATACTTCTTTGCAGCTGCTGGGAAGAGTGACCAGTACGTCCCCACATCGTCGTCTTTCCATCCATTGTTCATTGAAAAGTCCGAAATGACATTTGGCGTCACACTCCCATCAACCAACGTTGCTATCACCATAGCCATCGACGTTGGTCCGCACCCCCCGTTACACACATTTTTGTTCTTATTTTTCGACCCGGAGTACATATGAGTGGCCCATCGACTGTCGCACTGTAAATAGAAGACCTCTTCGTAGCATCTATTTTGCGATTTACAAACTGGGTGATTGGGAGAGTCCGCTACTCTGTTCGTAGTCATGTGAGTCAAATGGGGTGATCCTCCCTTTCCAGTTGAGGTTTGTGTTGTCATCCCAGTCAAAGACTCCAATTTTGATATTGTCTGTGGTCCAATTTCTCCATCTACCATTAAATTGTACTTCTTCTGAAACTGTTTGACGGCATTGACTGTATTTACACCAGCATACCCGTCAGCCCCATCCGGTCCACAATTGTATCCAAGCTTTATAAGCATCTCTTGTGCATGTTTAACTTGTGCAGAGTACTTAGGTTGTGCGACTTGAGTGTTTGCACTTGAACTATTTTTAGTCAAAGACTCCAATTTTGATATTGTCTGTGGTCCTACTTTTCCATCAACTGCAAGTCCATATTTCTGTTGGAACTGTTTGACGGCATTGACTGTGTTTGGACCAGCATATCCATCAGCACCATCTGGTCCACAATTATATCCCAATTTGATTAACATCTCTTGCGCATGTTTAACTTGTGCAGAGTACTGTTGACTCTGCGCACTCGGCTTTTGACTTGGATTTTGTGGAGTATTAGAACTTCCCGAAGAAGAAGTCATCGCCTCCAATTTTTTAATAGTGTTTGGTCCAATGATCCCATCGACAGTCAAGCCATTCTTCTGTTGAAAAGACTTTACTGCATTTGTTGTGTCTGGTCCCAATTTGCCATCAGCGCCTTTAGGTCCACAATTATATCCCAATTTAATTAACATCTCTTGCGCGTGTTTAGTCTGCGCAGAGTACGAAGTCGATGGTTTAGTAGCAAACCCTTCCGATGATGGTTTTCCATTAGATGTTCCACTGTTATTATTACTCGAACTTCCTCCAGTCTTACTCTCTAATTTCTTTATAGTTTGTGGCCCCGCTTTGCCATCAACTTGAAGTCCATTGTCGCCTTGGAACTTCTTTATAGCATTTGTTGTGTCTGGTCCTAATTTACCATCAGCACCTTTGGGTCCACAGTTGTATCCCAATTTAATTAACATTTGTTGGACGTGTTTTGTTTGTGCGGAGTAAGTGTAAGTCGTTTTGTTCTTGTCATTATTCTTGTCTTGAGTCTTTTTGTCTTTCTTCTCTTTTTTGTCTTTTAAGTCTTTTCGTCGGGCTTCGCGCTTGTCTTTTCTTTGATCTTTACGTTTGTTTTTGCGCTCTTTTTTACGCTTCTCTTTTTGGGCTTGTGCTTTCTGTTTTCTCTTTTGAAGTTTGTCCTTGCGCTGTGTCTTCTTCTTCTCTCGTTTGTCTTTAAGTTTGTCTTTCTTGGACTTTATAGCGTCTTTCTTTCCTTTAACCTTCTCTTGTAATTTCTTAAGAGTCATTGTATCGACTTTTCCAGTCACACGAAGGCCATTTTGACTTTGAAAACTCTTGAGAGCAGATCCCGCCTTTTCTCCATTCTTCCCACAGATAAATCCAAGTTTTTCAAGCATCTGCTGCACTGATTTAGACACTTTTGAAGGTGTTTCCTTCTTTTTTAATTGAGACAATTTCTCTCTTTTGGATTTCGCAGTGTTTTTCTTTAAATTGTTTTGCTTTTTGAAAGGAACTCTGATCTTCTGGTTCTTAGGTTTCACAGGTTTGTTGACGAGTTTCTTTCTTTTTTGAACGGGTTTTTTCGGCGCTGGAAGTTTCCTCTTCTTTGGTAATGCTTTTTTCTTGGGAGACCTTTTGGGAGCTTTCTTTGGAACACGTTTCGGAGAACTGTTTGTCAAAGCCTGGAGTTTAGACACTGTACTCGGCCCAGCTCGCCCATCCACAGAAAGTCCATTGTCACCTTGAAATTTTTTAATTGCATCTTTCAAGTTTTTAGTGTTGTACCCAAGCTGATTTAACATCTGTTTCACACTTGTGGATCGCCCTGAGTCTGTTCCAAGGAATAAAGTGCTGAGAACAACTATCAGCAGTAGTTTCATAATATAAACCTTTAAAGATGCTGGCTTCGAATCAAATGGAAAAACACTGTGGTGGCCACCATCATGTTAAGATTATTACTTATATGCCATTTTATTACTGCAAATAACATTGAAATTTGCAATTCAATTGATGTATTAAAAAAGCTTGATTCAGTTTTAATGAATTGTTTTCTTTTCATGGGTTAGTTGGACAAAACGGATTAGGAAATCTATTTGAATTTTGGTGTCGTATATAAAAGATGATGGTATTTCTTGATGTTTTGATGAATGAGAACAAACAAGAAAATTCCAATTATTTCAATTTTGTATTTCACTTTTTGTGTTACCAATAGATCATTTTGTAAGTTTTTTTATCAATTATTACAATTAATAGTATTATATTAATAAAATAATTAACTTTTTATTTAATATTTTGTTTTCAAATTGATTTTTAGCAAAAGTTAATATTTGGTTACTGTTTTCAAAAATGAGTAAAGAAAACTATCAAAGCTAAACAAATAATTAAAAACAATAATTAACAATATTATAATTTAAATAATTAATTGTTTAGAATTTGTTTTATAACAAAACAATTAATTTTTTTTTAATTCAATTCTTTTTCAAAAATGTAAAGAGAAAGGACGGACATGGGGACGAAGGACGGGAATATAGGCCGAAGGACGTCCTTTGTGGTTTAGGGACGTCCTCCCGCTATAAAGGACGTCCTCCCTGTGTATATGGTGTCCTTTCTATTATTTTCGTGTCCGCGGCATTTTTAAAACTATATAATGAGTTATAATATTACTATGAATTTACTATTATAAAATATAATTATTTCAAAAATAAATTTAATCAAAGACAAATTTTAAACAACAAGTAATTTCGTTATAAATTAATGGTTTTTATAAAAAATGCAAATTTAATTAGTTTTTCAAAGAAAACCGAATGGTAAAATGAAAAAAAATATATAATTATTATAAACCATTAATTTATAACAAAATTACTTGTTAAATAGTTTTTGTCTTTGAATTAATTTATTTTTGGAAATTATTATATTTTTTGATTGTATATTTATAATAAAAATATACTTCGTTATATAGTTTCGATAATGAATAAAAAATGCCGCGGACACGAAAATAATAGAAAGGACACCATATACACAGGGAGGACGCCCTTTATAGCGGGAGGACATCCCTAAACCACAAAGGACGTCCTTCGGCCTATATTCCCGTCCTTCGTCCCCATGTCCATCCTTTCTCTTAATAGAAATAAATAATAAAATTAAATTGAAAAAATAAATAAGTCATAATGAGTTTTTGTGCATTTTTTGTATTTTATTTGATTTTATAATTTGTTAATTTAAAAGTTACAATTTTCTAGTTTTATTAAAAAAAAATATTCATTTGTATTCTTAATAAATTAATAAATAATATATTGAAAAATTGAGACTAAACTATTAACTTATTTAAAATAATAAATAATAATAATATTTTACCAGTAAAAATTTTGTTATTAATAATAGTTTACAAAACAATAAAAACTTAACAAACAAATGTTATAGAAATTAGCTATAAAACTCGACTTTTAGACATCTTAACTTTTCAACATTCTCAAAAATAACACAATCAATTATTATGTACCTGTTTTACTTAAAGATCTGAAATATATCAATGTCCTCCAACTTTGTATATTCCCTAAATCCAACAGGCATTTTTATGGCTAATAACATCGTTCTTGGAGACCTTTCATCGAAGACGTACATTTTAATCGACTGTGGTGGAGATATCACACCAGCAATGAACTTTGTTCGCAGCAAAGGCCTTCAGACGTGCACTGAAATTGTGTGTACACACGGACATATCGACCACGTTGCTGGCCTTCAACAAGCAGTCAACATCACTCGCGCACCAATATCAATTCATACAGAAGACCGTCAACTGTATAACATAGCGCCGGTTCAGGGAATGCTCTTCGGTATACAACTCCAGCCACTCCCTCCACCCACTCGACTCTTGGAAGACCAAGACAGAATTTATGTTGGAAATTACGAGGGGGTTGTTAAACACACCCCAGGACACTCCCCCGGCAGCATTTGTATTGAATTTGAGGAACTTGGAATTTTAATCACAGGAGACACTTTATTCTCTGGTACCGTTGGAAACACTACATTACCAGGAGGAGACCCAGCTAAACTCAAAATGAGTGTTTTAAGCATTTTGAATAACACACCAGAGAACACTGTTGTGATGCCGGGGCATGGTGGGTTGACTTCAATTAAAAGAGAGAAGCAGACAAATACAATTTATTACATGTGAAACATTTCTTTTGTTTTTGTGTTAAAAAAATAAAAATCGAATACCAGTGGAGTCGAACCACTGACCTTCTCTGGAAGATTGAAAAGAGTTACACTGCCGTTGTGTTAGGTATTCATCTTTTAGAAGTTGGTGGTGGTGTGTAACTTAATTAATTAATTTAACTATTTTAATACTAATGAACTTAAAAAAATAAAACCAAATTTTTATAGTTTTATTATAATAATTTAATTATATGATTATTACAGTTAATTAAAGTGGTTAAATTAGTTGTTTTATTAATAATATATAATATTATACCTGTCTCAAATTATAATATTATATTATTTAGTTATTATTAAAAATCCTGATTTAATTAATTATTAATAACAATAGTTTTTCATATTACATAAAAATTTATTAATATTGTTTAGTTGTTTAATTATTGAATAGTAAACTATTCTAATTTAAATAATTGTTGTAAAGCACTTTTAACACTATAATAAACCCCCTTAACAATTGACATGTTATTCCTTTTTAGCTATTGTAATGTTATGCAAATAATAACCTTGTAAAAAAACGGAAAATATATAATAAACTCGCAATTTCCTGAATTTTACACAATTTGAATAGTGTTCAATGTTAATTAAGGTGTTAATAATAAATTTTTAGCACAAATTACACAAAATATTGGGAAAAACAGCTAATTAGAACTAAGACACATTTTTATTATTGTGGCTTTATACAAATCTTCAAAATATATCTTTTCAATAAGAGTTCGAGTCGATTGAAAAGACAACAATTGTGAATAGCCTTAATTTAGTATATTTTTTGAATATAAACTATTCTAAAATAATTACACCTTTTACTCAGAGACCAAATTACACTCAGGCCTTTATCATTTTCTATATTTCTTCCTGTTTTTATTTGAATAATAAGGCATTTTGACATTTAAAGACCCATGTTCAATACAAATTTGGGAATAGTTCTTGTTGATTCCGTGTTGACCACCAAACAACTAAATGAAAAATCAGTGACTATAATAAAATCATTTTCACAGGAATATATCGAAACGAATTCCCAAAATTGACTCACATCTCTTCAATTCTTTGATAACGAACAATTTTTAAGAAACTTAAAAACATACACAAAACAGATGTCTAAGAACTCAACATACAACCCACCAATGAAAATGATTACTTTAGGTGACTCTGGTGTTGGGAAGACGTGCATTTTGAGTCGATTTGTGAATGGAGTTTTTGATAATAAAATAGTCGCGACCACTGGTGTAGATGCCTTTAGTAAAGTTTGTTCCGAAGAACTCATAAATACGAAATTTTCAATTCATCGACTTATCACCAGAAAGTAACTGTCGACCAAATTACTTACAGTGTCCAAGTGTACGACACAAGTTTGTATTCTTTTTAACACATCACAGTGAGTTCACCGCAAGTGGGACAAGAGAAGTTCAGGAGTGGGATAGACAGTTATTACAGAGGGTGTAATGGGGCCTTGTTTGTGTATGACATCACCATGCCGTCGTCATTCAAAGCCGTCGAAGAGTGGGTGAATACTATGAAGCAAAAAGGAGACGCCACCACTTCATTTGTTCTTGTTGGGAACAAAGAGGACTTAGCCACAAACAGAATGGTAAGCATCGAAGAAGGCCAAGAACTCGCCAAAAAAATCGGATGTCCATACATCGAGTGCTCCGCACTCACTGGAACAAAAATCGAAGACATCTTCACGACTCTTATTAGAGACGCCGCACCGAATATGGAAAAGGCCGACGCACAACTTAAGAAACTTCGAGTCTCAATATCTCAGACAAAAACGACTTCGGAAGGGTCTTCTTGCTGCTAAGTTCACTTTTTCTTCAATGTTTTTGTGTTTGTCGGTGAAGATAAATAATGTTAAAAAAAATTAATGACACGTGAGAATGAAAATGACTAAGATAGTGTGTGAATTAATTGATTTTGAATTAAATGGTAATTACAATGATCACTAAGATAACCGCAACTGTGAAGAGCACAAGCGAAACAAATGAAAGTATTCTATATCGCCTGTTACGAGTCTTGAAAAGTAGTGCAAAACTGATGATCCAAGGTAATATAAAAATGAAGCCGAGGATGAAAAAGAGGAGAATTTGGTTGTTTGTCCTCTCCTCATGCAGTTCGTTCGGATTTACTTTTTCTTCTGTGTATTTTGATCCGCTCCAAACGTTGGAAGATGTGACGTGACTTTGTTGTATTTGAGGAGTTGTTTGTTTTTGATAAGAACTCTGAATGGTTGATTGTTGTGGAGTATACTGCCCATAATTAGGGCAGCTTGGGTCTTCATAAGGTGGTGGTAACAGGTCTTGTTGGTAAACATTGTTCTGATGGATAAGTTGGCTCTTCTCGTTCTCCATAGTGTTCATTTGTTGGCAGTCTATTGTTATTAAGTTGCCCTTTCTATTTTAATCAATGTTTTGTTCTTTTATACATTTGAAAAGTTCTAACTCGACTGTTTCAATACATGGGCAGTGAACTTCCCGATTGTAGTGAGTGTTCTAATCTGTTATATTACAACTTTTTCTTTGTAAAAGTAACAAGTGTTTTTTCATTCAAATACGAAAAAATCAGTTCGATTGGAACTTTAAAGAGGATAAAAAAACAAATCTTATTATATGTAATATAACAAACTATAAATATAGAAATTGTTACTCAGTTACTAAAGTGTTTCCTCTAAAGCGTTTGATCACATATTTAATTCCATGAGCCTCAAGCATTGGCACCAAACACTTTACAACATCATCACCACCAACTTTGAAAACTGGCAAGACAACCCTTTGAACTTTTCCATTGTTTTTAACACCATATTTTAAATGTGTTTGAACTATAGCGTCACACACTTGTTGAATTGGATTGCCAAAGACACCATTACCTATTAATGTAAGGACTATGGTCTTTCGTTGGTTACGAATGGCAGTCAAATAAGTTCCCTCATAGTCGGCTTTGAGAATGGAACACATTAAAATCGGGTACTGCTCTATTACAGGCCAATTGAGAGCCCCACCTCCTTGTCTTACATTAATTCCAGCACAAAAGACTTGATCAATCAAATTCCGCTTGTTCTTGGGAACGACTCGCATCTTCCGAACTTCCCAGACAAAGGCGACTTCGGCGTCTGTTTGGACGCCAACTTTGATTTTTCCATCATCAAAAGTTGTGATGTCTAAAGGGAGTGATAAGTGCGGATACCCATTTTCGACGTGAAAGAGATGATCTAAGTCACCTAACATCTCAAGTTGCTTCTCTTTGGTTTGCCCCCACGTTCTATCGTTTGTTGTTGGGTCATAGAAAGGGAAGTGCACTCTAAATATGGCAGAAGCGGGTGCACCAAGTGATGCGGAGGGGCCTTGTGTGTGGTCATAGATGTATTCCGTTGTGAAATTTTTTAAGTCTGGGGGACTTGCCTCGTTGACTGCCTCCACTGCATTAAAATTTGAAGCGACTTGAAACACAGCGTTGTTGTATTGTGGATCTGCTTGAAGGTAACAGACGTCGACTTGACTTCTGGAAGCCAAATCTTCGCGAATTAATATTTCAAAGACACACGGAGTTATTGAAAGTGTTTTTTTCGATGTTTGGAACTTTAAATTGGAAATCGAAATGAGTTCAAAACTTCCAGAAGATATCACTGAAGTTGTTTCAGTGTTAATAATTGAATACATTGGTGTGTTAAATGCACTGTTACCATTTTCTTGAATATGGAGAGATTTTTCCTTTCGAAATTCCTCTTCATAAACACCACAAGTGTACTTAAACCACTCGGTGTCTGTTATATACTCTTCACTCGCTGTTGACATTGTTATTATCCTACAGCGTTTTATAGTTCATTAATAACTTTAATTATATATTGGTAGTTATAATGTCTTTGAAACATTTCAATTAAAACAAACAAAACAGTTACATTTATTATATTTAAGTAGAGTCTGTTTAAAAATGTTGTTTATAGTATAAAAACATAGACAAAATACATTTGTCTATGTTTAAAACACTGGATATCAAGAAAAATGTAGAAAAATAAGTTAAAATTTTGAAACTATACTTTTAAAGTGTTTTAAACAGTTTTATTAGTTCAAAAATGTCCAGACAACGTTTGTATACTGACTATAACAGAAGTCGTGTTGGTCATATGAAAAAACATTAAAAATCAAATTAAAAAAACGCAAAAGAATTCAAATCACAACAAGTAGCACTTCTCTTTTTGGCTCTTCTTCCTATCACTTCCTTTCCCCTTTTTCAAGTCGATGTCGCTCTGCTTTTCATTCGCGCCTTCAGTTTCGAGTCTTTTGAGTACTTCTGTTATTATAAAGACAAACGCTTCTTGCACATTGGTATTGTTCTTCGCACTGACCTCCATAAAACTGATGTCCTGTGACTTGGCAAAGTCAGCCCCGTCTTCCGTTGAAACAGTCTTTTGCATGTCACACTTGTTCCCAACTAGCAACCTCACAGCTGACTTCGATATTTCAGCAGCACTCTCGTCAAGCCACGACTTGCAGTTCTCAAATGTCTTGCGATCAGTGCAGTCATATACAACTATCACCCCATTTGATCCTCTTTTTGTCATTTTTTGCACTTTTGGAGTTATACACAGACAAGTGCAACAAACCGATAATACGACTGCGTGATCGTATGGAACTTTTCCTGTCCAGCTATTTATTATTATTAATTATTATTGAATTGTTAATTAATTAAATAAACATCGAAAACATTACACAACAGATGCAAAAATGTACAAACCAGTGTCCCACTCTTTGTCAATACATTTCAATTCAAACACTCTAGTTATACTTTTTATCTATATGTCTATGTCTTTATAGATAAACAAACAACTTGAATCTTCAACTTCTTCCCATTTAACTCCATTTTTTTAACCTGCGTGTCATTACTTTACTATAAAAGACAACCCCCCATATTAATATATATATTGATATTTATAATATGTATAAAATCACTCCGTTTCCATATAGAAAAAAACTTTAAAATCAACGCCAATCGTCGCTATGAACGCATCACTGAATGTATTATCTGTGTACCTTAACAGAAGAGACGTCTTTCCTACACTCGAGTCCCCAATAAGAAGAAACTTGAGTAAGTAATCCCATTCCCTCTTTTCAGTCATTTCCTCTTCTTTTTAAGTTCCTCTTTATCAAAATGCTATTATTGTTAGTTTTTCTAAACTATTTAAAAACTAGTGGAGCACAGAAAAAAATTCCATTTATAGACGTTTTTACGAAATTGTATTTCAATAATCTTCTGATATAGTTTTTTTAATTTAAAAAACTAAAACTAAAAATAATCAGAAATTTTGTATATAAAAAGTATAGTAAATTTATATAACTTTTAATTAAATAAATAGAATTTGTTTCCAATTCGGTAAATTTCTTGATTTGCAAAAATTATTGAAAAAACAGTAATAAAATTACTTTTTGAAAAAATGAACAATAGTCAAAATTTTAATAAATTTAACTATAAAAAACTAAAAAAAATATTAAGTCTTTCACATTTGCAATTATAGCAAAATTTAATTAATTAATAATAATTTAGTAATATAATCATATTATTTGATTTAATAGTTTATTATAGTAAAAATAAACTAAACGGAAATCGCAAGAAAAATTGATTAAATGGTGTTCGTCCCAATTTACTCATTGAAGTTGGTGTTAGCAGCTTCGTTATCAGCGGCCTTGAACTGAGCGTTTTCATTTGCGACATTGACAACGTTCTTCATAGCGGAGCTGACCAATTGGTAAGTCTTGAAAAGACCGATAGAGACTGCGATTAGAGCCACGACAAGAGCGACAACGACAGCAGCAACCGTAGTAGCAGCGGCAATAGCACCAGAGTTATTGATTTCACCGGCAAGAATGCACTCGACCTTATCGTTCAATTGCTGAGACAAATCGGACTGATTCATAACCATACAGTTACCACAGGCGTCAAGTTGGTAATGTTCCTTTTCAGTATCAGCAAACATGACGAGTGAAGCACTTCCGTCGATATAAGAGCATTGGCAGTAGAAGCATCTGGCTTGGTTAGAAGTCAAAGTTGGGAACTCTTCTGAGACGACACATTGCTTATCCTTGTAGACGACATCTCCAGTCTCTGGATCACATGAAGCATCTTCACAGAGATTTCTGGCACTTGGCTCGGAGTTATCATAAGTCTTGTTCCAATAGTGAGTGCATTTCACAGCACCAGCTTCAGCACTTCCTTCGTAAGTATCAGAGCCACCAGTGCAAGTCTCAACGCATTGGTATCTGAAGCACTTGTTGTCTAATTTGACCTTGGACTTCTCCAAGAAGTAGGCAGTGTCTTCATGTGGATCATTAATGTCGAATTCGACAAACTTGCAGTAATATCCATTGTCTCCGTCACACATGTATGTTGGACGTCTGCAACCAAAGTCTTCATTTTCTGCTTTTTGTGAACACTGGACATCATCGGTGAACACTGGGCACTTATTGCCATTGACACATCCAACAGAATCACATCTCATTGATCGTGAGACTTTGTCAGTCTTGTCATAGATCTTCTTTCTATTCTCTTCAAGAGTCTTTGTAGTATTATCACACAAGTTATACATCTCAGTGCACTGCTCTCCAACAAGAGCACTCACTTTACAGTCCTTTGGCTGACACTTGAAGTCGGGGTCGACTAAACACTCGTTGTTCAAACAAATGAATTGGACGCCATTCTGATCCTTTGGACATTGATCAACTACAGTAAATTCATTAACAACTTCTCCTCCAGCAGGTGTAATAACACATTTCTGGCAATTGCTCTCAACGAAAGACCACTCACAATAAGCCTCAGCGTCAGCTTCAGCCATAAATTCGTCGGACTGTGGGTATCCAAAGGCAAAGTTGTAGTTATCAATCTTGCTCGAGTAGTGATAGGAGACCACTAATTGATCCATACAAACACCAAACTTCTTGAAAACATCACCAAAGAGATCTTCTTCAGTGCATGAAAGTGGGTATCTTGGAATGCACTGATTGTTCTTACAATCCTTTGGAATCTTGTAATCAATTGTAACTCCATTGCCAGATGTCCATGTCTTATCAAGTTGCTTGTTGACACAATTTGGTGTGTATTTGTTAGTAGTGTTATCACAAGCAGAGCACTGTGGAATAGCATTAACAGTGTATGAGCACTTACCAGTCTCTTCGTTGTAAGTGTAAGAGTAGACGGTTGAATCAGCTCCACAAGACAATGGAATACATTTCTGACAGAACTCTTGGGCATTACCAGTCGATGTGTAGACACATTTGCTGTTTTTACATGTACCCTTGAAACCACCGCATGAGCTTGTTGAACTGCTGCATGATTCAACATACGTAGCAGTATCACCGACAAGTTTACAATAACCACAATCAACAAAGAGTTCACTGTCGGCCTTGATTTGAGTCAAGACACAAGCGTTGTCTTTACAAGTGTAACCCCACATACCTTTACAGACATCTGAACCGGTAGCAATTTTAACAGTTTGGTTACAAACCATAGACTGATATTCAACGACACCAGTAGCTTCATTACAGACGGCCTTCATACAATCTTTATTGATCAAATCCTCCTTGCAATTTGAGTTCTTGCAGACTGGGGTTTCTCCAGTGTAATCACAGATTTGAGTCTTATCATCACAGTAGTTTCCTCCCGGGTTCTGATCGCACTTGCATACGTTATTAGTCTCAGCATTGCATCTGCACTTTGATTCAGTGACAGTTCCACCGCATTGAGAGTAAGTATCACATTTCAATCTGTTCTCGCATTGCCCAGTCTTCTCATTGCATCTGGCAACGTAGCAGTCCATTTCTACATAAGGAATAGTCTTGACACAGACCTTGTCTTCGACCTTACAAGTCAAATCGGCACTGCATTTGTATTGTTGGCACTTTGAGGTCTTGCTTGGGCATTTTGCAGAACCCTTCTTGTCCTTAATGCAATAACCAGACTTGGCATCACACTTATAAGTGTAGCAGTATCCATCAGGGGCGGGTTGATCATCAGTCTTGCAGTTGTCGACCAAAGCACATTTAGTGTTAACACCTCCATTGGGGCAGGTAGCTACCATGCAGGCTACTGGTGGTTCGCAAGAAGAGTTATATCTTGAGTACACACAACCTTCCAAATCCTTGCAGACACGATCACCGACACAATCAGCTGGGCAAGAGACCTTTTCCTTTGGTTTCGCTGGTGGCCATGGGGTGCATGAAGCAGTCTTAGTATCACAGTAAGTGTAGTAGCAAGTGTTCTCACAGCACATTGGGCAAGTGCATCTGTTCTTGGCATCACAGAACCCATTGCAAGTCTTTCTGTCACATCTTTGAGTCAAGTTGACTCTAATACCAACAAAGGCGTCTTTGATCATTTGTGGGACTTGAGCGGGGTCAGTGGTCTCATGGAAGTGGTCACCAAGAGACAACAAAGTGGTCAACTCAGCAGTCATAGCAACTCCCTTTCTGTTCAAAGAGACGACGTGGACGGTAATATTGTTGACATCGAAGTCGGTGTTAGCATTGAAACTCTTTCCAGTTCCTTCATCAGTCAAAACAAGAATAGTTCCTCTTTGAGTGGCACCGGAAGCAACTTTTGGAGCCAATTCTCTCTTAGCTGCAGTGATCAAAGCATCGACCTTTCCTTTAGCTGGTTCAAATGAAGACAAGAAATTTCCATTGATTTGTGAAAGTGGCTTTTTGACAGTCGAATAAGCTTCACCCTTCAAGTAGTAAATGGTAACATCATTAGTGATGGTTGGGAGGTCAATGTGGCCAGTGAAAGCGTCTTGGGCTGATTTCAAGACGGCCTTGTCTGAGATACCCCAGACGATAACCATGTCGGACTTGACGTTGTTAGCAGTGAAAGACTTCTTGCACTTTGAGGTGGTGTTAGTCTGATAGTCTTGCATGAAGTTATCATCGTAGCCGTTGAAACTTCTGAAAGTGATTGACTTTCCCCCAATGAAGTCGAATCTGCAAATAGTGAAGTCGTTGTTCAAGACGGAAGTTCTCTTCTTGCTCAGAATAATGCTAACAAGTGGGCTCTTAGCTGGGTATTGATAACAGTTTTGTCCATTGACGTTGACTGGGACCAAAGCGTCTTCAGAAGTGGGTACTCTGTCCCAATCAATTTCGAACTTACGAATTGGATAGCCGTAGTCCTTCTGACAGAAATCTTGAGTTGAAATGGTATCAAGATTTGGATTCTTAGACAAATCGACATTGTTATCTTCGTTCATAGTTTTGGTCACCCAATCATTGCCTTCTTTTTGGGTCCATACAAAGTGTCTCCATGGTTGCATGGCAAGGTAATAGAAAATGTCAACGCCGTTGTCGTAAGAGTGTTGCCACATACCGGCGTTCTTTCCACGACCCATACGGCCATTGTCGTAGATATCGACATCACCACTGAACTCATTGAGCAGGTCAGCACTTGTGAAGCACAATAATGTTGTTAAGAAAATAATAATGAACATAGAGTGATTTCTGTGTTCTCTGTAAAACCTTTTATACCTCTTTTGATGTGGATGGCGCTATTTTTAAACTGTTCTATTTTACTCTTTTACTGTTTAAAATGGTACCCATGTTTTACTCGAGTTATTTGTGGTTTAACACCAATCATTGTGTGGCTATTCTAATTTTTATTAATAAAATTATTAATAATTTAGAAATTTGAATCAAAAAAGAACATGTCTCGTTCATCAATTATTTTGGGTTCTTTATTTTTGCGTTTTGGTAATGAGAAGAAAAGTGAATTTAAAAAATCATTGTATTGATTGTTTTTTCATTGATTTTTTCGGGAAATTTGGGATACTTTTTTTATTTTTTTCTTAATTGTCTCGAATTCGTGGTTTTTATATACAATTAAAAATTGAATGAGATTTTTTAACTCATTTTGGAATTGTCTTTCGTTAATTATTTTATTTATTATTATATGTACCATTAAATAAAAAGTACAAAAAAGAACATATCATATATAGTATTTTTTTATATAATATATTACTAACGAATTATCAATTCTTAAAAAACACAAAATTTGTCTTTTCATGACACCGAAACCCCTTTTTGAAAGTTAAGTTTCTATTTTTGTTTGAGTAAAAATAAACTATTTGTTGCACATAACAAGCAATAAATCAGGATTTATTATTTTTAACAGAACTAAATAAACAGTATTTCAACAGTTCTAACGTTACACATTCAAATTAATATAATTAAGTAAATCCAACCATATGTTTAGTAAAATTATTAATTTTAATCACCTTTTCGAAAAAACATGTTTTTACAAAAAGGCAAAAATCAATACTATATTTAAAAAGTATCAAATGTGGCAATAAAATATAAACAAAAGAAAAAAAATAAGCAAAATACCGGGAAAATATTTATGAATAAATTATTGTTTTGTTTATTATAGTTATACAATGGGGTCAAATTAATTTTGGTGTTAGGCTTCATAATAATAACCATATAAATATCTGGTTATATTAATTATTATGTAATTTAATCATTTATATTTTAATTTCAATTAATAAAATTTTAATAAAAATTTATAAATGATATTAAAACGCGAATTATAGTTATTATCATTTTTATGGTTATTCTAATTTTAGTAATACAAATAAATCATACATAAGTTCAATAAATTTAAAGTAATTTTAAAATAAAAATTTTGTTTATTAGTTTAACACGTTCGAAACAGAAACGCAATAATAATAAGTTTTTATTTTTTTCTTTTACCTAAACCTTTTTTTGCCTTCATACACAAAACAAATTTTTTTAATATTTTATTTATTATTTTATCGACTCAAATTTGAATTGTATATTTTATAGTCACACTTAAAGTGAATGAGTTTGTTTGTGTAAAACAAGAGCAAAGCATTAGAAAGAAAGATGGTGTCTAATGATGGTTTAATATTTTTGGTTGTTTTTTATTTAAAAAGTATATTGTCATTTGATTATAACAATATTGGTGTTTAAATTGATGTTATATTTGTTAATGTGACTATTTGACGTTGTTTGTTATTAAGTGGATTGACGATGTAGCGTTTTTATATCAATTGTTGAAACACTATAAAGCGATATGAAATTTCATCCAAAAAGATTATTTTTGACCAATCTTAGGTAATTGAGTTCTCATTTGTTAATTATTTTAAGTAAAATAAAACTGACTACAGTCAAAGTCGCTTATTTGTAGGTTTTCGTATTTGTGGGTTTTGCTTATTTGTGGGTTAACTGACCAATCAAAATCAAAACATACAAATAGGTTGTATCTTCTCGAAACTGAATAATTAATTGAAATAAATTAAAATAACTTTATTTTTTGGGTGTATCTGAAACAAAATCTAATATGGAATAAGACTTCTTTTGTATTTTTTTAACTTATTTAATTTAAAAATTTTAAGTTTCTGTTAAAATGGTTTCCATATTTAATAATTGTTTCTATATTTTATTTAAAAAATACTATAAAAAATAATATTTTTTGATTGATAATGCAAATGTGGTACTGAGGTTTCGACTAATAATTAATATTTTTTATAATATTGTATAAATTAAATATAAGAGTTATATTTGGACGTTTTTTTGAAAATAATTAAGAACCATGTTCATTATTATTCAAATAGTATTTAAATAATAAAACGAAACCTTAGTATTCGTCGAAACTTTAGTATCATATTTGTAATTATATTATCAGTCTTAAAACAGTAATAGTAAATTTTTAGACCATTATAACTGTTATTTTTCGGGAAACTGTTGAAAAATCTCCAAAAATACTATTATTTAATTTTATTTAGTTTTTCAACTTTTTTCTAATTCCTATTTTTTAAGGCTTATTTTGTGTATTTATTGTGTCAAGTGGACAACTATTTACAAACAGACTTTAGTAAAAGACTAAAAATTAAGAATATAGTTATTTTTATTAATTTTTGATAATTATAATAAATCAAAGAATATTCTTCCCAATTCTTAGCAAAACCTACAAATAGACAGCTTTTTATGCAAGAAAACCCACAAATAAGCGACTTTGACTGTATTGGCCAGTTTGGGTTAGAAAGGGGTTTTGGAATAAAAATAATAAAAAAAATGATTTGGACAATTTACTTTTTACTTATTTTTCTTTTTAAAAAAAAGTTTTGGGTTGTGAAAGTGTTAATAATAAATTAATTAAAATTGTGATAAACAAATATTTGAGAAAAATATTTCATAATTAAACTCTGTTATTCATTTAAACAACAAAATGTTGGGTTTCACAACTTCCTTTATTGAGTTGATTTGACATAATTATATAATGTTTATTTATTTAAAACAAATATTATTTTTTTAATTTTCAAATAATATTATTATAATACGTTTTTATTAATTATAGTAAAGTCAATTATAAATTTAAAACCAATAGTTTTTAAATTATTTATTAATAGTAATTAATTTATTTATTTTAATAAATTATTATGAGAAATGACACAAATCCCGATAAAATATGTCAGACAATAGTAACTTACCTAATTTCTTATGGACTGATGTCAGTGCATATAATGTTTTGTCAGTGAATATAAATAAAAACTATATTATTGGTTTGTATAAACAATAATTAAACTATTGACCCAAGATTCAAAAATTACTTTTATAGTACTTTTAATTCAAAATAACCATTATATTTTCCAACTTAATAATGCTTTTCATTGCCCAAAAATACAAAACTCAAAAAACATATGAGACCAACACGACCACTCCGACTACCAAATCCAACAGCTCCTAGACCAGCTAATGTTCCAAGGAGCACAACAATACGTAAACAAAATGTTCAGCAGTCGCTTCTTACTACACTACAAACAACTGTTTTGACACACCACACTGGAACCACAATTACAAGTAATCAAATGGATGTTAGAAACACCCAATTGACCAATACCGAAACTTCCAGAGTATCTTTAGGTACAACAAGAGGAACACAATTGACCAATACCAAAAGAAGAAGAAACTCTGAAACTTATCGGGAAATAAGAGCTGGATATTTCAGAAGAGCTGATCAAACACTTGTATTGGAAGACAAAGAAAGTTTTATAAGAAGGATAACAAACAATCCAACTATATTAGACACAGTATTTACAAATTCTTTCATAATACCACAACCTCAAGTAATTGTTGATATTGTTGTTCTCAATTCATCAACAATAAAAATATGACTGGATTTTCAATCCCAGATTTCGAAGAAATACATTCTATTTTGTGTTCGGAAATTACATTTTTCCTTTTAAAGATAGAAGAGGAGTGAAAGTGGCAACATGGTCAGAGAAAAGAAACAGCTCAGCAGTATTGGCTCATAACAAACGTTGTAAATTAAAAACTGCTGAAATTTTACTAATTATGTTGACATTGTTCCACACAAACGAAAGTTATTTCAACATTTATTTGTTGTTGAAAATGCAAATTAGATACGCAGACGCTCCATTTTCTGTTAGCAGTGAAATCAACAAAACTGTATTGAATAGAGTCAATAAAAGAATTGGATATGCAATTGATAAAGGTCTAAATTTATTTGTAAATAACTGCAAGCGCAATCTTATCAATTCTTTGCAAAATTGTTCAGAAGTATTAAGTCCTTTTTCTTTTGGTAAAGAGAAAAAATTCGTGGATATAATACCAGCACTCGACAAGTGCTATTTTGCGGTTGATGGGAGGGAGCAGTCTATTCTAAATAAATTCAAAATTGTTGATGGCAAAGAAGTGTGGAATGGTGTTTTCTATAGCCAAAAAAGAACCACTGTGGTTTAAAAACAGAGATATATTGCACCTACCTGGGCATTGTAACCCATTTGATAACATCAATTCCCGCATCTTATCACGATGCAGTTATTTTTTGAGAAAATTTTGATGAATCATTAGAGATAAAAAAACACATTTATTTTAGGTGACAGTGGTTATCAAGGTCATCCCAATGTCATATCAATGTGGAAATATGATGAAAACGAAGATGAAATACACCACAACTTGGTAAAATTACACAACACGGTGGTTTCTTCACTAAGACTAATAATAGAAAATGTGTTCGGCAGGCTTGTAACCATTTTTAGAATTATGCGAGATACATATAGTTTATCAATTGATAAATATGAACCAATTACCATTTTGTGTCATGGAATTCTAAATTATCACGTGTTGGCATATCCACTCAGAGATGTTCATTTTTATTTAATAAATGAAAAGTACCATTTGCCAGGAGTTATTCAAACGTTGCCTATGAAAGCACAAGAAGCAGTTTGTAAAATAACGGATATGATAAGAAATGATGGATGGGATTTGCAAGACGTAATTGATTCTTTTGATTAATCGAAAATGGAATTTTGGTTTTGTATTTTTGGGCAATGAAAAGCATTATTAAGTTGGAAAATATAATGGTTATTTTGAATTAAAAGTACTATAAAAGTAATTTTTGAATCTTGGGTCAATAGTTTAATTATTGTTTATACAAACCAATAATATAGTTTTTATTTATATTCACTGACAAAACATTATATGCACTGACATCAGTCCATAAGAAATTAGGTAAGTTACTATTGTCTGACATATTTTATCGGGATTTGTGTCATTTCTCATTAGTAATAACATATAACAAATTATAAATTATAATACAATTATTATTAAAAAGTACTTTAAACAAACTCTTCAAGAAATCGTTTAAAATTTCCATTTCCAACACAATAAAAATAATAATAAAAAAAACCAAAGATGAATTACTCTGTATCAGAATCAGAAGACTCTGAATTATCTTTCTTATCAGCTTGAGGTTCAACATTTGGTTCTTGAGGTATCGAAGAAGATGTAGATGGCATTGAAGGAGCAGAAGGTGTGTTAGCAGTGACCCCTGGTTGTTCTCCTGGTAAAACTTTCTTTTCCCCCTCGACAGACAGAGCGTATCTGATGTCCTCGCCCCACGACTCGATGGTTGCGAGGATGTCTGCAAATGTTGGACGTTCTTCTGGGTTTTGTTTCCAGCACTTAGTAGTGAGGTCCCAGTAGTTTTCTGGGATGCCCGTTGGTTTGTCGAGTCTGTTTCCTTCGATGACAAATTGTGGGATCATCCACGGCTGGTTGAATCGCTCATCGTTTTCGTATGCGTTCTTTTCGATGTAAGTTTCGTACAAGACAATGCCAAATGCGTACACGTCGACTGGATAGCTGTATTCGGATGAGTTCTGGAGACACTCTGGTGCCATGTATGTTGGTGTTCCAATGCCTTGCGACAGTGCTTTTGATTGCAAGTTTCGTTCGGAGATGTTTCTGCACGTCCCAAAGTCTGTCAGTTTTGCGCAGACTGGGGAATGTGGGTTGAGTGAGAAGACAAGGAGATTCTCGCCTTTGACATCTCTGTGCAAGATACTGTTTTGGTGCAGATAGTTCAGTGCAACAACCATGTCATCAAGCACTTTCACTTTCAGTTGGTAGTTCATTGGGTTCTTTCCCCAGATCTTGCTCAGTGACCCGTACTCTGCAAATTCAGTCACAATTGCATCTCTCCCTCGTGTAAACTGCTCTATCATCA